AGAAAGTTTCTAGATACTCGAGAATTTTACTATCCTTCAGCCAATCAATACGCTTAAAAACTTTGTCGTACGACAAATGTAATACCAGCCTTAGGGTACTATTACATTTGTCGTACGACAAATTTTTTAAGCGTATCGATTGGCCGCTGAATAGAAAGTTTCTAGATACTCGAGAATTTTACTATCCTTCAGGCTGGTATTACATTTGTCGTACGACAAAGTTATGCAGGATTCACATGTCCGGATCCGACGTCCGACATTCGATGTTCAATACGATTGGTTTGTACTTTTAGTCCCAGTCTACAATAGAGATTTAAGCCCTAAGCCTTAAGAAATTGACTAATCTCCGTCGCGCATTCTACTCATACTTGACCGTGATTGGCCAATTTCTTAAAGCTTAAGGCTTAAATCATCTATTGTAGACTGGGACTTAGATCCAACGAGGAACCAAAAGGAACATTATTTTTCCTGCTAGATTGCTTGCAATCTAATAAATTACTGTCGTTGCACCATTCAGCACTCAGGACACAGTATAACCAGTATGGGTACTCGCTCTTTTGTTTCACGTTCGCGCCGATCCGTACTGCGCATCCGACATGTTTTTATTATAACCAATCACAGGATTTTTGTACGTGTGTTAGTGCAAAGTCAGTGTGACATAGAAAAATTCGCAGTGTTGACGAACAACGCGTAAATACTTTTATACGTTGGAGCAAGTAATTACATTAATTACTTTTATTAGAACATTTTTTTTCATAGGCCATTTCCATTTACAATAAATAATGTACGCCAGTTCGTATGCGCCTTTCCTGGATACGATACTGAAAAGGGCCCAGGCACTTTTAGCCGTTGATACACTGTTGGCGCGAATAAAAACATGGCGGAAAATTAAGAACGGGAAAAATAGCATCGTCTGCAGCGGGCTTTATAGCGACTTCGGTTGCTTGCACTAGTGCACGCTAAGGCCAGTTTACAGTCAACCTTTATACTTGATTTTGCCTTAAAAATATATGCTCAGAGTATTTGGCCAAAAACTGATCCGTATGGATGCTACACAGATCATTTTACTCGATGACCTGCAATTGATTAGAACAGTTTTGCCTTCGCATGGAGATTTCGTTTTTTACATTATCGATATTACACAGTACCTTCGTGGTTTTAACGTTGAAACAGATATAAATTATTTTTAAAAGCACAACATTCAAAAGAAATTGATACATGATATTTGTACACCTACCACTTGATCTAATTCTATCGTTTTTTTAAGACTAACAATTTGTACAGACACTAGCCAATTATATAACTTCTTTACTAAAAAATTATCTGTCAGTTTCTCTCTTAAAAAGCTGATAAAATTTTCAACTCTTTATATTTACGAAAACTAATGTTACTAATAAGAAAACGAATATTTTTATCAACAAATTATACCTAATATGTAAATTATACTTTTATTAAGGTACTTGCGGTAGACACAAATTATGCTCCACTTTACAGAGTCCTGCATGTTTCATATTAAATACCTCATTCAATGATTTTTTATTTATGGAAGTTTGACTAGATTCTCATAAGGAAATGTTCTCGTTTCATACACTTGTTGTAAGACAAATACTTGGAAGCATTTACTTGGTTTGTCATCTTACATCACATAAACTTCTGTATATATATGTTATATAATCTCGGTAAACATCTTACATTTACTTTAAAAAGAGTTAGGTAAGAATATATAGATTTGTCAAGCGGAAAAGAATGAAACGTAACAATCTCTACGAGTAACTTTTGTCATCTTTGCAGCCGTACCGTCTTCAAGCACGACTGGCCATACCTTCTCACGGCCTCTTGAAGGAAGGCGTTCTCCATTTGTCTCACAATCTCGTTAAAAAATAAATTCGACAAATGAGAGTAAATGGCGGACTTGAACTCGAATGACAACGAGAAGTCGATGACGCACGTTTCAGGATTGTTCTTCAGTCCGGGACTAAACAGCCACAGGGTGTCCAAGTGATCGAACAACTTGCCATCCTTACATTCAGCTTTCACTATCCTCGGATACACCGTGGTCACCGTCGACGTGTAACTCTCGATTACAGGCGGGAATCCGATCATTAGGTTCGCCTTCAGGAAGTCGTTGCTTTTCATCGTGATCTCAGATTTCTTGCAAAAGGGCAAGAAACTCTTGTAATTCTTTACGTCGGCGACCACGTAGTACATTTTCTCCATTGAGAAGCTGCAAAACAGAGATCTCGTCACTTCAAACAATATTCCCCGCATTGAAAATATACAATTCGTAATATGCACAAGCCTGTAAATAATGCGTTAAAACGTAAACCAATAAAATGTTTACGACAAATGCCAAATATGGTTTAAATGTTGTGGAACGATTTAAAACAATGGGAAATAAAAATGCAGAGTCTCGAAAAGTCTCTTTCTCTTTTCTATTCGGTTTGCATTACCCAACTAATTTGCGACTCTCGTATTCCTTGGTCCTGTGGCTCGCCTGTGTCCTGTACATTCGCCACAAGTTCCGCTTGGAAGAATCGTGTTTCCACGACAGTGCCAAAATGAGCGCGTGCCTAAAATGTTTTCGCACACGTGACTCGGCGCGGAGTGGTAAAAATTACATTGAAATTTTAACTATCCACGATTCAATTTTCAAGTTGCCTAACCTCCATAACCTCAAAGCGCTACGCATAATCTCGAAGTCAAGTCGCGCGAGATGCATTACCTGTGCATGTCGAGGTTCGAATTTTAAATTTTCACACCACGTCCGGCGTATAAATGTGTATTTACTTCGGCGTTTGACATGCCAGAATCCCGTGCCATCGAAACTGAACCAATATCGTCCTACGGTCAACTTCAATTGTCGATGACAGCACCGAAGGAATAATCATAGTTTTTTTCTTAATATAGACAAAAGTAATACACTTGAAATACTTCGAAGCACCGTGTTCAATGGAATCAGGCCGGTATTCATAGTCCGTTCTTATCTTATATTTAAGCTCTTCTTGAGTTATACTCTTAATGTCTTTTTAACCAATCACAGAGCCGTAGTAGCCTCTTAAAGCCTCCGCTACAATGATTCTCGGTTCTGTCTACAATGGTCGTAGTCGTAAGAATAAGGCTGGGTCTACATAGGATGTAGTAAGTCGTGTCGGAAGAAATTGACCAATCACAGTTCATTATTCTCCTTACGGTCGAAGAATAATGAACTGCGATTGGTCAATTTCTTCCGACACGACTTACGACATCCAATGGCCGCGTTCAGCAGACACAACTGTTGAGTGAGCGCTCAGTATGATTGGTTAACACTTTTAGGCCCGGTTTCACCAACGCGAGTTAATCTAATCGGTCCGTTAACTTAACAGGGTGCCAACATAAAACTTCTTTATTAACCTATTTTCTTGGTTAATAAAGAAGTTTTATGTTGGCACCCTGTTAAGTTAACCGACCGATTAGATTAACTCGCGTTGGTGAAACCGGGCCTTAGATCCTTAATATGATTGGCTGGATCTAAAAGTATTAACCAATCATACTGAGCGCTCACTCAACAGTTGTGTCTGCTGAACGCGGCCAATGTAGACCCAGCCTAATCGACTGCGATTGGCCAATTCTTAAGGCCTTCACACATAAAATTCCGTAAAGACGTAAAACGTAAGCGTAAGAAAATCAACAGGTTGGATTTGCTACTGCTTGCGTCATTGCCTTACGTTCTCGACTGTGATTGGTCGATTTTCTTATGCTTACGTTTTACGTCCTTACGGAATTTTATGTGTGAAGGCCTTTATCGAGCGACTACGACTACGACCATTGTAGACAGAACCGAGAATCATTGTAGCGGAGGCTTTAAAGTCCAATGTCCACGATG